GATGAGAGACTTCACATTTGGTCTTTCTCGAGCTTCGTACTGTAGACAACGTGTGGCTAAACGTACTAGCTCAGTTCCATCTTCGTTTGAGAAATGACCCTCGAGAGCTGAATCCATTAACATTCCACAGTTTTTTCCCTTAATCAGGTCAAGCGCCTGTATAACAAGCTAAGGTTAGAAAAACATGATGAACTATATATAAAACTAGTAACGTCATTGCGAACATTAAATGTAAGCCTTGTATATGTTACTATATTAGGAGAGGACTTACATGGCTTGGTGGAATATGTTTACCACTCATGAGATCAAGCAAAACAGTTCCAAAACTGAACACTACACTCTCTGGTGTCACTCTACCTACAAAACATAATATTCATGTGTATTTAGCTTTGGGCTTGAATTGAAACATATATAAACAGGAAGAAGACAAGACAGGGTCTTACCGGTTCGTAGATACTCTGGAGGAGTAAATGCCAAGTTTGTACTATAACTCTTGCCATCTCTGCTATTTTTCATGAGTCCAAAGCAAGACAACCTTGGATTCCCATCCTGTAAACCACAAAGAATCAAAGAAAACACTTACTTAAAAAACGATAGAATACAAATGACTCAGAAGGATAAGCAAAGAAAGCATTAATCAAAAAATTCACCTTGTCAAACAAAACTCTGTAAGCATTGAGATCATGATACAAAGCTCTCCCTTTATCACAACAGTACTCCAATGCTTGCGCTAAACAGAGTGCAACTCTTAGTCTCATCGCCCATTTCATCGGATGATTCTCCCCTGAAACAAGAAAAAAAGAAAAACAAATAATCATCATTTACTCAATTTGCAGAAGCAGGAAGAACTACACAAAACCTATTTTGAACACACACTACATTATCATTGTCTTGTCACCCACTAACCACTTAGAGCATCTCCAGCTCTATTCGACTTTTCATTCCAAAACAGAGTTTAGAGTAAAGTATTCCCAAACCCGATTACTAGAGTAATAAATTTATTTTTTACTCATTACTCTACATTTACCCTAAAAAATAAAGTAACTCAATTCCATTTCTAGGAAAAAAAAAATAGAGTAATATATTGAAAATGCTCTTGTTCAAATCACATACTAAATAGCTATTAACGGTAAAAGTAAGTAAGAAAAGTACAGTGGAACAAATGCTTTGCAAGAGTTTCATGAGGCATAAACTCAGCAACGAGTAGCCTCTCTTCTCCTTCACAGCAACATCCTATCAGATTCGCTAATCGATCGCTCCTCAAGCTCCCAACAGCTTTCGCTTCATCCTAATAATTAACAATAAAACATTTTCAGATTTAAACTCCAAAAAAATAAAATCATAAAAGATTCAAAATACAAAAAGAAGATTATTATTTACCAGGAACTGTCGGTGATCGGCCCAGGCGAAGCGGTTAAAGCGTTTGACAGCGATCAAGCGACCATCGTCAAGCCTGCCTCTGTAAACAATGTTGGGAGCTTTCTCTCCGTGTTCCGACACAATGTTGTCTGATGAGAAACCGCCTGTCGCAGATTTAAGCTGCTCTAATCTGAATTCTTTGAAACTCGGCCACACTTGTTTCCCTCCATTTTCTTTCAGACAACAAACAAACAAAAATCAATAAAAAAAAAAAACATGAAAGATGGGAAGCGAAACAGAGATAAGGTAACATTACCGAGATCGGGAGATTCGAGGACTGAAGAAGATTTAAAGTTAGAATGGAACAAACAAGAAGAGAATTTAGAACAATGAGCTCCCATTTGATGATGACTTTAACGTTGGTGATGGAATCAGGTGGTCTGAAGATGAATCAAACTATCACAACACTTGTCTTCTTCTTCTTCTCGGCTTTTCAGACTTCCCTCAAGAAGGAGAAGATAGTTTTGGTTTTTTTTTTAATAATATTTAAATTTTTCTTTTTTATCCAAAGTTGTTTTTTGCCACAACACTTTCCGCCTCTCCCTTTTAAAAACTTTTTGAAAAATTCTTTTTTCTTTCTAGACAAATGTTATTTTTCTATAATTGTTCAGATATTTAGTTTTATTTAATTGAATTATAAAAACCGAATCAAAACAGAGGAAAATTGTAGTCATGATATAATGTGGTTCACACGATATATAATAAATTTGTGAAATTATATATATGCCGACATAAAAATAAAAATCTATGAAAGTATTAAAGAGGTAAAAACTCATTAGGGTGAAAACTTCTTTATGGAACTGTTAATTATTCTTTTGAGCCAGTAAAAGTATGGAAAAAGCAGAAACACTTTTTACATGTTGAAAGTTGAAACCGCGTGAACTTTCATCACTACTGCACCATTTGTTGCCAATTGACTTTTATATGTAATTTCCGCTGACTTTTAAGCATTAAGCTTTTTTATATTCACACTTGTAATAGTATTATAAAACTTAATTTACAGATTTCAAATATAAAACCCGCTTCGAACTTCACTAAACTAAGAGTAATTTCTTATTTCTAAACCTTAGAAACAAATATTTTGACGGTAAAATTTTGGAACAATATCCTAGGGCATTTTCCATTGATAACTTATACTGAAGAGTCTTCAGTCAAAAAACTTATACTGAAGAGTCATAAGCTAGTAATGAGGTACGTAAGATGTAAATCATAAAATAAAAATCAGTATGAAAGTGCACTGTGACTGTTCGGCGAAATCTGCATGTATCGAGTGGTGCTTATGTTCAGTACGTACATATTTTTGTAATGCAGCATACAAAATCTCATGAACATTTACCTTTATGAACACATGAGTTTTCACCTTCATGATGTTATATATAGTCAATATGTTAGCACTTGGCTTGAACTTTTTCTTAGGATTTTCATTTGTTATAGTTATGTCCAATGTTCTAAAAAAATTGTCGGCAGTGATTAAACATTCTGTTCAGATGGATGTCAAGAATCATTTTTAAAAAGTCAATTTAGGAAAATCATTTCGCTCATATTCCATTTGTCGACTAGGCAGACGTCTAGGCACAGCATAGACCGATGAACATTGGTTATGTGTCTCAAGGTAGATGTTTACAAACTAAATTTTGAGATTTATTGATTGTTGTTTGTTTTCATGTTTTTTAGTTTTTTACCGTATAATCAATTACCTAAATTGTACAAGTTGTCAGCAACATATTGTAAATTTTTTCTTTTTATTTTTCAAAATAATATTTACATATATAGACAGAAAAGAAAAGTTTAGGTCGCCGTTAAATCACTTGTGCGTTACTCACGCTTCTCATTTTTCAGGTTCGAGATTAGTCTTTATTGGTTGCTGTTTTAATTATGTTTTATTTCTTTCGTCTTTTGTAATATTTTCTTCTGTTTCATTTCAAATTAAAGATATAAGGAATTAGCTACAGGCCCATTATTAATGATATGTAGCCATCCTTGTCCAAAGACAAACGTATAGAATGTTTTCATCAGATCACAACTGATAATATCACTCATAAAAAGTGACTTTTCTCTATGAAAATATATATAGTGACCTCCAAAGTCTGATACTACTGTAAAAGAAAAAAAAAACATAAAAAAACATAAACACAAAGTTGAAATTAAGAACTTCATAAAACACACCATATCCAGACAGATGGTATAATGATAATGTTTTCTTTCTTTCTGCATTTAAAATAATGATTTTACTACCCATTTATGGTACAACATAGGACCCTCATTCACATTATCACTCAAACACTACAACAACAACAATAATAATAGTATAAGAAATCGACAAAACAAAATAGATAGTAACATAGAAAAAATGTTCCAGCAAAAGAAAAATGAAAGAAATGTCATAATGGTCACGAAAAACGAAAATTGCTTGTTAGAGTGACGACATGAAACAATGATGATAATTTCTTTCATTGTCAAAAAATTCATTATCGTTTCACCAACAATAAATATATTTATGTTTTATGTTTCTAGCTTTTGCTGATTCTGATCGACTATTAGCTATTCATAAAAACGCCAATAATCTTCAGAACGTGACATCGAATCTTAAGAAAGAATATTTAACCACAAAGTTAAAAGATGAGGACATGAAACAATGATCATTTATCATATGTGAAAAAAAACAATCATCATTATCACTATGTTTGTAGCCTTTGCTGATTCTAATCGAATATTAGGTATTGATCAAATAATCTTCAGAATGTGACATCGAATCCTAAGAAACAATTTTTAACAAGAACAAAGAAAAAAAAAGAAGACACAATTACTTTATCAAATATTTGCATCCAAGTAATGGTCCAAAATATTAGATTCGATCGGTAATGCATAACAGTTATCGTCTGATGCCTCAAAGAACTATTAGAGTATTCATAAGTCATAACCTTTTAGATTAATCTATTCGAAACAAATCTGACATGATTTGTTTACATCAACTATATATATGTACCTATATCTCTTTGAAGTCATGGCATCCATATATAAGCATTGTTAAGACTCGTATGTATATTCTACGTTAGACTAGTATATGTATTGTATATTACAGATTTGTGAGTGCAATGAGCACCGAAAATGTGAAAGGGAAAGAAAAAAAAAAGACAGAGATCGGTGACAAAGTTGTGTGCTGAGAAGATGTAAACATGTGAGCCCACATGGGATGTGCCTTTGACCACATACCTTACCGACAACACATGCCACGTTCCCTCTTCACAGTAGTAACAACATTTCCATTTTATTTGTTTCTCATATTTCACCCCATATTCTTAGATGGTAATACATTCTTTAGTGTGAATTAAAATTTTGATGCTGCAATTACTGAACAAGGTCGGTTAAGGCTATATATTCGAATAAAACGAATGATTGGTACCAAAAAAAACTGAAATAAAAATGAATGAACTGCAAAAAATTTGATGCTGCAATTTTTATTTTTATTTTTTTTTTTGTGACAAAAAAAAAAATGAATGAACTGCAAAAAATAATGTAACAAGTAATCTAAAATTCAGAAATCGCACCACAAAAAACAAATTGCTAACAAAAACACCTCTCTCTCTCCCTCTCTCTCTTTTTTTTCCTATGTCTCTCTACACTCACTCCCTTTAGAAATCGAAAATGGTTTTTTTTTTCATAAATAAAGCCCTATAAAACTTCATACGGTTAAGCCTATTATAGTCTAAGAATTATTTAAGAGTTTAGGAACTGTTGTAACAAGGTGTTATATACAGTATCTAATTGTTTATGAACACTGAATACACACGCAAAAACCGAAAATGGGGTTGGTTAATATGTATAAGAGATTTGTTTCGTGTTACACAAACATGGACATACTTGAGAAGCAAGAAACTGAAAATGTACAAGCTGACTCTGTCTTTTTGTTTCTCCTCTTTTCTGAATCTATAATCATATTATCATATTTATCAAAACCCAACGATCCAAAAAACTAAACTTGAGTTCTCATGCGCCATTAGTAGCACTGTCATTGTGACCTCCGTTGCCATTCACTTGAGCCCTCGGTCTCTGAGAAACCAAAACATTAAGATCAAAGTACTCAATCAGATTTGTAACTGAGAAAACTAATTTAGAATGCTTACCCTATCTGCAGGATCAACACCGTTCCCGTTCAAGAGTTTGTGATTCTCTTCTTTGGTTCTGTCTTTAGAGCTCACTGGAAGCAACATGGTTGTCCGATCAGGCAACTCTGTTATGAAAACAATAACATATCAGAATCTGGGAACCTCTTAAAGTCTGAAGCAAAAGGATCAGACCTGGTAGTTTCTTGTCGAGGAAGAACACAACCAAGTTCACTGTATACCAAGCAACCACAACATCGACTGTGTAATGTTTACGTGACGCAATAATCAAGAGGCTCTGTAAGATAGCTATGGTCCAACCTAATAGCTTTATGAACCTAAAAGAGAGAGAGAGAGAGACATGTTGTAAGCTAAAGAGTTATTGTTAGGCGTTTAACGACATTTCTAGAGGAACTGTGTTACCTTTTAGAACCGTACTTCTGGTAAGTGAGGACAAAGACTAGTGTGAATATCATATGCGATGAGAAAATCAAATCTCCACATCCGTATATAACCCCACGAGGAACTGATAAGATCAGAGTATTATCATCATATAAGAAGAAGTGTAACATCAGAAAATGTGTTGAGGGAAAAGGAAAATGTTAAAAACTCACAGTTAAGCAAGAGAACCTCAAGAACGCTATGTGGTCTTGGCAACCTGGCAAGCTCAGAACCCTATAAGTAACACAATCACCAGAATTAAACACATGAATATGGATGATACGCCACTTGTGTGTATAGTTTTTTTTAATCTAATTTTACCTCTCGACAGTGATAGTTAGGACCTGGAAGCTGAGTGGAATAGAATGTTATTACACGGAGAAACTGACAAGCCTGTTAATGGAACAAAGTTCAATACGAGCAAAGACTTGAATTTGCATTTATGTAGCAAATTGAAGATGGTACTTACAACTAAGAAGGCGAGAACTCTGCACCATATCAACACAGTGTATATCTTCTTGCTTTTTATGATGAAAGGATGGAAAGTCCACTGAAAATTTAATAAGGCAAAACAAACCCATTCATATGACGTCTTCTTGTTTAGAACAGAACAAGACATTGAATCCTGAGGAAACTCACCAGGACAAAAGAAAGAAATACACAAGTAAACACAGTTTCACTTATGTAACTTTTATCTTGACCAAGCTCCTAAAAACAAAGAGAGATTCAATATGACATCTATACCGAAGAAGAAAAGTCAACCAACCAACAAGCTGAGATATTGGAGACAAACCGGAAGAAGAATATATCCAAGATCTTGAAGGGTTGGTCCAGGCCGATGAATATAGTGAACTCCCCTAGCAGCTAAACCATGAATATACTGCACATAACAGATGCAATTCATACAAGTGTGAAAACTAAAGTAAAACCAAAAGAAACCAAGAGACATAAAGGTAAAATACAAAAATACACCACAAACAAAAAAAAGGTCACTTGTGCTTTAAGTTACAAACTGTGATCATAAGCTTTTGTTGTATCCTACGTTTCCAGTTCCAGACTTAAAAGCTAAAAGAACTTAAATTAAAAGAAACCTCAAAATAAAGATTTGCTCAAAATGGAATCTAGCAAAAAAAAAGGTAATCATTCAACAACACTAAGAAGAAGGAAAAAATAAATGGAATTCAAAATCACACGAGGAGTCACTAGATCTTATTTACTCAGCTGTAGTATTCAATTACAGAGTAAAGTTATCAGAAAGCTGAATAAATAAATAAAAAACCTGACAGAGAAGACCAGCAAGAAGGTATTTCCAGTTGTCGGCGAGAAGACCAATCTCCGTCGTTATTTCCGAACAAACTCGCTTCCATAGCTATAATAAACAATTACCAGAATTAGTTACTACTAATTACCCAAAATAATTGCAACAGAATTCAAAATTTGGAAGAAAAAAAAATGAAAAGTTACCTTAGAAGCTTCGCGGCGAATATAAAGCGTCATTCTTTATTGATGTTCTTTCACTTCCATACATACTACTTCACACCCCAATAGTTTCGCTCAACATCATCAAAAAAAACACCTTAACAAAATTCGAAAATTTGAAAATTTATCTCTGGAACAGAGCTTTTCACCGGGGAAGAGGTTGTAAATTTCTCCGAACCTAAGTCACGGTTAAGCGTCGGTTTGACTCAACGTTCGATCGGAGATCAGAATAGCTGAAACGAGAACACAACGGTGACAGGAAAAAGGGGAAAGAAAAAGGATCCCAAATGATCACAAAAGACGAGAGAGGGAGAGAAGAATCTAAGAACAAAAGCTTTTCAAAAGTAGAAAATGGATTTTTTTTTCTTAAAGAGGATCTGAGACAAGGATGATCACCAACAAAAGCCCTAACTTACAATTTCAATTCAGCGTTTGCCGAACAAAACATTTTAAAGCATCGTTTTGTGTTGTACGATTAAACGCGAGTTCCACACGGAGAAAACGGTTCAAACTTTTATTTTAAAATTTTAATTAGCGACTTTTATTTTTATCTTTATATTTGAATTAGATTAATGATCGTTGGAAATGTTTGTTTCCATCTATTAATTTACTCTCTATGTTAAATTTACTTTTGATCATTTATTTTGTTTCTGCAAATTTTATACATTGAATACAACTCTTTCTATTCCTAAATATATGATGTTTTAAAGTAGTTTAGATGTTCCTGTATATTAAAGATGTTTTAAAGAAGTTTAGATGTTCCTTAATATTAAAGATGTTCTCATATTTCCAGATAAATTTTAATAATACATTTAATTAATATGTTTTAGGTAAAACATCTTATATATAGGAACAGAGAGAATAGATTTATGAAACTCCAAATAAAGCACACAAATTTACTATAGTTAATATTGTTTAAAAATTAAAAACATTTTAGAAAAATTCCTTTTGAATAGTTTTTTTTTAAATTTTGTCACAAAAATATCCATTTAATAAAGAGAACGACCAAAATAAAATTTATTTAAAGGGTAATATGCATTTATATCCTAGGATTAACTAATCTATACTTAAGTTTTATAGTTAAAGGTGAGGTTTTGTTTCAAATTTTTTAAATAAATATTACAAATTTCAAAATAAAAATAAGTTATTCTGGTCATTTTATTTTTAGAAAATTATTTTTATGATAAAAAAATTATAAAAGACTATTTGCGAGAATTAACCAATATTTTTTTATAATCCATTAGTTTAATTTCTTCCGAGTTATAAAGTACTGAGTACTGTTGTTTTCATAAGCTCTATATCTCTCACTCGCTCTCATGTAAACCTGGAACTGACAAGCTGGAAAATCAAAACACCTAACAAAGCAACACCAAGCTGGATTCCTATCTGAACCATCACATTCTTCATAATCGGCCATGCTTTCTCCGACCATTTCCTCTTCCTTTCCGTGCCCACCACCGTCCTTGTTCTTTCTTCTTCCTCCTGTATTTCCTCTATTTCATCATCTTTTGTCTCATCTATTTCTTCTATAGTTTTGGACTCCTCTCTTATTTCTGAACCTACTTCGGTTATCTCCCCTGGTCTCTTGTCGAATAATCCTTTGAACTGTTTCCTAGCTTTGCTCTCTGCTTCCTGTGAGTTCCAAAGATACGAGATCACTTAACAAGCATGCCTAAATCATAAATAGCCTTTTGAACCTAAACATTACTGACCTGTTCCTTCTGCTTCAGTTTCAGAAGTGCGGCTGTCGCGTCAGATTCTGATGATTTATCCACTTTGATCATCTAAACAATACAGCCACAAAAGTTATTTCTAAGGGATTGGATTATAACAAGCAGTTTTTGAATAGTATACCGTGTTGAAGTCATTTCTAGCATCTTCATACTCTCCACCTGCCATGTAAGCCATTCCGCGGCGGTACAGACCCTTCACATGCCCAGGCTTTGCTTCTAGGACCTGTTTGGAGATTGTAGGTACAAAGGTCTCAGAAATAGCAACTTCTGATTCACGAATAAGTTCTTAAGAATTTGTTCAATGGATGTTTACCTTGTTACATGTCTCTACAGATTTCCTCCACTCTCCCAATTTAAGCAAGCAAGCAGCAACATTCAGATGTAACATATTCTTCAAATATTATCAGAGCAAGTTAATACTTACTATCAAATCTGTACATATACTATAACTACAAAAGCTTCAATGAGAAGATAAACTCACCCTAGTGTCACCAAAAACTTTTCCTTCCTCGTCATCTTGTGGATTTACATGATTGAATTCCCGGAGCACCTAAGTTTTTGGTTCACATCTCAACAAACGTTAATACTAGACTTACAGACATAAGGAGGTATCTTGGTTTCATTTGTTTTAAGGCTCTGTTACCTTTTCGTACTTTGCTTTTGCGAGCTCGTATTTTCCTTCTTTGAAAAGCCTGTTACCCTGAAGTTAAAATATAACCAAAAGCAGAGAGGAGCCATAAGTTACATAGATCTGGTGTGACCTGATACCCACACAAGATTTGCTGATCCAAAACTATGTAGTGGTACATTTTCGGAGTAATTATGCATTAGCATAACATTTGATCCATACCGTGCTTCTGATACTTTCTGCCTCATTCATGATGCTCTGGAAGTCCAACCCAGTCCAGTCCTGTCACAAGAGTCTCTGGAATCATAAGAGACGGAAGCTGTTTACAATTCCTAACGTAAGGATCAACTGTAGACCAACTTACTCTAGGCGTTTCGAAACCAAGGAGTTCAATCTCCCACTGAACATGTGCACCTTCTGGAACGCCAGGCGGCCTATCAAGATATAAAACAATCAAAATGCGTCTGTTTCTCCACGAAGAGTCTATATGCTATCATGTTCTACCTCGGAAATTTGTCATATGCATAATCAGGGGGACATGTAACCAGAGCAATCTCCCCAGGTAGCATCAAACGAGTACACATCTCAAATCCTTCGGGCACCTGCTCATACGACAATAAAACGTTAAGCATAAATAACTCCACCAGGGTTTCTAGTAACGTCAGAGTAACTGACCAGTCCTTCCCCTGAACTGAACTCCAACGGGTGATCATTATTTTCAATCCTACTATCATAGAAGACTGTCTTCTCTTCATTGAGAAGCATGCCCTTGTAGTGAACGCTTAACCGACTGTCTTGGAGAGGACAATCCATTGGAAATTCTCCTAATAAGTTGATGAAACATAGCAGATCAGGATAGTCTAGCGGATAAAACTTAATATTTAAAAAACAAGAGCGTGGAGTCTAGCAGATCTTTAGAAAGATGTATCAGAATAAAAACTCCAACATGTTGAAAACATGTAAGAAACCATTAAAAAGAAAGTGTGAAACATACCTCTTCCATCTTGAATTCGACGTTTTATGAGACGTCCATCACCAAGCATGTCTCGCACCTTCAAAGTGAGAACTTGAATGTCAATAGCTCGGTTTCTCAATTATTTAATCAGCAAAATACTACATAGGTAAACATGATTCTACAAGTTTAGTCTGTCTCATACCTGAATGAAATGCACAAGTTCAACCTCAAAATGAACTTCCTCAAGGTCTTGAGCTATATGCATCAAAGGAGATTCAGTCAAGTACTGTTTGCGAACATATATCACTGCCTTCTCTTTCCTAGCCATTGTTCCAATTCCGATTTCAAGACCTTTAGGCACCTGCCTAATTGAAAAGCAATAATCAGCAATGATAGTATTGCTCGCACCAGAACAGATAGGCATGGACAGAGTAAAAAGCTGAAGATGCCCCATAAACTTAAACAATCACCTCAGATTTTCCAAACGTGAAGAAGTAAGGTTCTTCTTTGTGAGATAAGATTTCTTTTCCATCACCGGATATAGCTGATATCCTAATAGACACCACAAGTATGCATTAAAACATCAAACAATGTTTCAGCCACAAGGGAAACAAGGTTAAAATATTTTTCGACCCATAATGTTCACACACTGAATTACCTGGCTTTTACTTCATAGGGTTCTCTAGGAGATTCCCAGCCCTCACCTTCATTTAGAATCTTTCAAATAAAAGGAAAGTAATACGTGAGCCATCAGGAAGATCAAGAAATATTTGGATCTTGTCATTCTTCCTCTGCCTATTTTTTTTCTTACACTACCCAGGCCCAAGCAAACAAATAAACATCCCTGACCCATTTCATAGTCGAAAAATCTGAAGAATCAGGTCTTACCTTCTTGACGACCCCCAGATCATCACTTGCAATCTAGACAATTAACACAAGGCAAAGAATGCTTATGTCAAAACATATGAAATGAATGTTCTCAGAGTGTTTCGACTAACTAAGACACTATATCGTAGTTCGTGATGAGATCTTGCCTTGGCTTTAGCAAAATCCAGTAATTCAATCTCAAAATGAAGTTCATCATCTTTTGGAAAATTTTCTGGAGCAGAGACTGGACAATCCTTCTCTGCATAGTGCATTTCAGGTTTCATCTTGAACTGAAACCAAATAAAGAAAAAGAAGAAGATAAAGACTTCATAAGCCTTGAAGAATCAAGAAAGTGATCTGAAGCTAATCAAAGATTAAGTGCATTAACACATTGAAGTTCAGTTAACTTAAGCATATAAACTAAACACCGTACAGAAACCAAACTGCCAAATCCGAGTAAAGAGACAGCTTTAGAGTAAAAGTTCATCTCTGAGGTGAGAAGACGTTAGCTTAGTTAGTACACACAAGTAGAGGAACAACAACAACAATAACGGATCCCTAAGAAATTTTGAATTTACCATAGCAATTTCACCCTTATGCATAGTGGGAATCCCTTCAAGCAATCCAAGAATCATTTTGCTCTTCCCCAAGACATCTCTTATCGGTAAACCTCTCCCTGATGAAACACCAACACACATTCATTCAATGAGAGTCCTTAACAAAAAAGCTCAAAGTAATCCTCTATTCCACAGAAAAAAAGTTACTCAGCCTCACCTCCACATTCTGACCTCGTTGACTCCACTACTACACCATCAAGCGTCCTCACAGTACAATGATAAATCACCTGAAGAAAACACACACACACACATGAGCACTAACCAACTCTTTACTCTCGATAACAAGATCTACGAAATTAGTAACCTGATCACCATCGACGGGGCGTGAATCGCTTCCTCCTCCTCCAGGTCTCACCAAAGCTTTCAACAAGCTCCCAGGAACAATCTTCTTCCTCCTACTCCCAAATCAAATTCTCAGATACATCAAAATACATTGAATCTATTCCTAAACTCGAATAACTTAGCAGGAGAAAGAGGAACCAGACGAACGAACCTCTTATCGTCTTCCGTTTCGGACTTCTTCTTCTTCGGCAAGTGATTCTGCTCCGTCGCATCCATCGTCGTCGATTTCGCTAACCTAGAGTTGTAAATTCGAAATCGAAGCC